GGGGGGGGGCTTCGCATCCGCGGACTCCCCCTTTCAAATAATCCTGGATCCGCCCCTGCATTGTACTAGTGTAATTAATATTGATTAAATCAATATGTAAAGATATACATGTACATGCAAAATCACTGCTTTAATTGTACCATATTATATGGAGGCGAGGTGGGGACGGTGGGGGTTGGAGCTAGCGTACGTGTTTCCGCTACGACTCTCCTCCCCCCTCCCCCCTCCCGACCTGAGGCGGAGTCCTATTAAAAAAAAGCCTGGTCAAGCATACTCGTTCACATGTTAAATCGAAATCTCATCTTTCACAGACAGGCATTTTATATGTCAAAAGATTCCATTACAACGAAATTGCCGGTAAGTATCGATCCATTGCAAAATCTAAGTCTATCCACTATTCAGTTTTCGAAAACATCAAATGAAAAAAAATATTGCATTAAATTTGAAACAACATTAAATGAAAAAAGAATATTGCATGAAAATTAGAAATAAGACTGAATGGAAAAAAATAAAACTCCCTTAAAATTTGAAATAATATTATAGTGAGGAATGACGACAGCAGTCTGGAGCTTTCGAACGTTTATTCACCGACTCTCGCTTCATACAACTTCACAAATATTTATACTCAATTTCTCAGTACTGATCACGCATTTTCTTGTTTTCTTTTCCATTGTCTTTGCGTGATTACAAAATATTTTCCATTCGCATGTTGCATGTCACCATGCAACATTTCCTTATTAGGTAATCCCGAAGAGACTTGTTTTCAATTAAAGATATCTAAAATATTATTTGGATTACTCATACTTGGGCCTTATCCAAAACTCAGTTATCATGTGATAAAAAGATGATCAAAATTAAAATATGTTATGAAATTAAAAAATCACATTAACTGTTACTGACTTTGACCTTTTCCATCTTTTTCTGACACTAAAAACATGTTCTACACTTGTTGACTCTTGGAGAAACTTAACTTACACTCAATAACTCTCTGTCCTTTTACTCTTTTGATTCCGTTTTAATTGTTATCTGCAACTACTGAAAGTGCAAGTAATTTGCTTTACAACAATAACATTGAACAAAAAAAAAAAAAAAAAAAAGGCGTATAATAGTGCATGAAAATATGAAACATTGCATTACAAAAATTGAATGAAAAATCTATTTATTGAATATCGTAACACGTACCATGCCATAAAGGACCTCGCATGAGAGGCATCGGTAAGAATGAATCGTTATGTGCCGGTATAGATCGGTATATAAATTTTCCAATTACCACCACAGCGCTAGTATTGCAAGTGCCAAGTTGTCACAAAAATTGAATAAAAGATCATTAAAATTAAAAACCAAATAAAGATAATGAATAAAAAAAATTAATTAAAACAAAATGATTTAAAAACAAAAAATAAAGATATTGTAAACAAAGCCATATCATCAATGTTCGCAGTGGCGGATTTGGAGAAGGGTCAGGGGGGTCCTGACCCCCCCCCCCCCCCCCCCTTTTAGATTTCTGAATAAAATCACACTAATATTTCCCTCTTGAAATTAGAATTTTGACTAGTTAAATCATAGTTTTGAATCATACCAAATGGCACCGTTCTCCCTTCACGCACACCAGGGGTGGGGGGGGGGGGGGGGGGAGTGGGGGGAGGGTCGGCTTCGCACCGCGGAACCCCCCTTCAAAGAAGCCTTGATTCGCCCCTGTGAATAGATATCCCGTGTGGAAGTATTCAAGTGGGTCGACCATATTTCGACCTCGGACAAGTTAGTCCCCTATTCTGAATGGGACCATTTTCAGATAAACCTTAGATCTAATGAACGAATGCAACATTTCAGGGGTTGAAAGTTCTAATTCATTTAATTTGACACGTAGCCTACTGATCTAAATCGGGTACTTTTGTAGAATACCCCCCCCCCCCCCCTGAAACTTCCTGAAACTTTCATTTTTCAAACTTTTTTTTTACATTGTCTTTTTCACCTATGTCAAAACTGTTGAAATGAAATGTTTTTGTTATTACCTGTGGTCTTTTTATTAGTTTTAATCACATTTAATCCACCCCATTGAAATACAATGTGAAAATTTACAGTGTACCCGCAGTCAATAACTTGCCGCGTTTTCGTTGGCTAACTCTACCTTATTTTATGTGAACATAGGATTGATACATTGTATACTTGGACTTCCTCTGTGAAATTATTATGAGCTACTGCTTGTTCACTTGAAATTACCTTAGAGTTAGCCAACGAAAACGCGGCAAGTTATTGTCTGCGGGTGTAAATTGAAGATTCTAACATTGTATTTCAATGGGCTGGATTAAACGTTATTAAAACTAATAAAAAGTCCACAGGTAATTACAAAAGCATTTTATTTCAACAGCTTTGACATAGATGAACAAGGAAATGTAAAAAAACTGTTTGAAAAGTGAAAGTTACAGAAAGTTACGGGGGGGGGTACAAAAGTACCCTAAATCGTTCCCTTGAAGCCGTAAACAGAAGCTTACAATTCGCTTGCTTGCTTCAAAGACCTCTCTGCACGTAAGTTACATTTTATTTTGTTTGAAATTACCCTTCCCTGTGTTTGCTTTCAACTGTTTTTTTTTTTCAAGTGTGTTGCGGTGTATTGCGCAATTCAGCCCTTGTCTGCTATGCACCGATGCTACTTTTCGTTGTGACAAGACAACACTTTACACATTTTCACTAAGTTTGAACCGTGCAACGGGTGCGTATTTTAGTGCGACACATATTTTGCGGTAATCATAATTTTTGAGATATTGCATTCAAATCAGGACAGGAATTCTATGTGACGTGGAAGTCTATCTTGTTTACCAGAGTCACCTTTGGGGCCTTTAACGAGTATCAGAAATCAACATCCGGAGGAAAACAGAAGGGAAAGATCACAGTGCTAGCTTCCATCTGTCTTAACCCTGACTATGGGGATGTGCACCTCGTGTTTACAAGGTTATAGTGATGATCTAAATGAACCCTCTCCAGTGAGTTATTCAATATTTTCAGAACACTGCTTTCTGCATTGCAAAATATTCCAGAATTTTGCTGCAGTGTGTACGCTTTGGGATTTTTTTTGTCTACAGACTACACTCCCTTTTATTTTTTCCCAATTGAACAAATATTAAACCCCTTTATGTGAAAGTTCGTGAGTAGTAGGATTTTTCTCAAAGAAAACTAGCTTTGATACAAAAATACCAGATATTAATATCTTATACTGTAAATATTTTTTAAAGCGTCACTGTAGCGGTTAACTGAAATGAACTTACACCAGTGCCGGATTACTCTTACATGAATATTATTTTCTAATTGTAACTTTAAAAGGGTCGAATTTAGTAAGTATAGAAGTTTGGGTTTAAAAGCCAAAGAAAGGATAAATTATGTATTTTCCATTGATTTGCTAACCAGGAAACAAAAAGGAAACGTCAGGCAGAAGCAGCTGAGAAGAGGATTAAAATGGATGAAAGTAGGGGAATAAGAGACCCAGAGGCTGTGAAAAGAAAAAGACAAAGGCAGCAAGAAACTGAAGAAAAGTTAAACAAAATGCCAGATAATGCCCAAGGTCTGAAGGTAATGTAGAATATGTTCTTACTGGAAAGGCAGATTTTCTTCAATATTTCAAAATGGAAAATTTGGCACTGTTCACATGAAAAATCCAAATTCCAAAAATCCAAAAAGCCATTGGCAGTATCTAGTGATCTGGGCCCCGAATACCCTGCGGTGTAATTATAACTAGCAGTGCGAGCGCGTCGTTTGCAAAGCTGTAATTGATTCTCGGCTGCACACGGAGGAGATTCTGATGCCTGGACGCATGCACAGTAGTATCTCTAAACTGTGGATTTCATCAGTTTGCACTCATATCTGTCGTGTGTATATGGACATCATCTTCTTCATCTTGTTGTTGCACAAAATCAACAAACACATTTTTCAAAGCAGCCGCGACCGTCATTTTCTTTCTCTCTAACTTATTACTGCGCATGCGGCCAGGTGTCAGAATCTCCTCCAAGCGCAACCGAGATTTAATTACAGCTTTGGGAGTAACTCGCTCGCACTGCTAGTTAATTACGTCACAGGGTATTCAGGGCACAGACCGTGATCACTAGATACCGCCAATGGAATTTTTGAAATTTGGATTTTTCATGGGAATGGTGCCTTGTCGTAAGTAAACAACTAACCTGTTTCAACTTATTTTTATATCTGTAAACAAGTACAAGCTGTTAAATACAGTGTTTTCCACGGTCACGTGACTTCCGCTAAATTCTCCGTGAGAACACGAGATTTTGCGGGATTTGAAGTTTCAAGGGGCAAGTGTGGAGTGTACATGACGGATGCCATATCGACGAGTGCTTGTTTTGATCTGAATTTTCAAGGATTTGTAACATGATAACACCTGAATTTTTTCGAAAACACATTCATGCGAGTACTTGGAATAGAAATTTAACGGAGATACCTGATGACTTTTCCAAGAAAGAACTGAAAACGTATCTCATAGACAGCAAGGATATGACATACGATAAGAAATTTGTGCGGACATTCAAAAGTCTGAAAGCTTATTATCCAAGATGGATATGTGCAGAAAATCTACACAACATATTTAGTGGACCACTCTGTGTCACCAGAAAACTGCCATGTTTAAAGCTAGACGAAAACAACAGGCCATATTTGAATCAGAAACAGCCTAGCTAGCCTACTTCAATCAAGTCCAGGGTCAAATGGCTGTGTACAACATTCATGTGTATGATTTTGTTTTGTGCACAGAGAAGGATCTCTTCATTGAATCTGTTCTGTTTGATGCTGTTCATTGGGCACCTGTGGTTCCTAAACTGACCAGTTTTTACAAGACATTCATTTTGACAGAGTTGGTGTACGCTACTATTAAACATTTTTTTTTTCATTCAAAAATTTATTCTGTACATTAGCTTTATTCTGTACTGTAGCTTTATTATGTACATGCATTTAATACCAAACTGAGAATATGTGCAATATTATTCTGCATTGTGATCTTGGGTTGTGAAAATCTTTAGTGTTTTATTTTCATGCTGTTATAATAATCCTTGCATGATAATAGTCTTTTTTTTTTTTTTGAAAAAATATGTTTTCTTTTTTGTATTTAATTACATTGTGATATAGTAATGTTTTTAATTATAACTTGGTCTCAGATGATGGTGCTTTAAATTAACATTTCCCATGTAGGTTGGTTTAATTTTACTCAGGTGTTAATGTGCAGCTTTTTTAGATTAATTTTAATTGGAAGATGGCACGATGCTAGTGCATTTACCGGTACTAGTACAGTAATTTATTTGCAGACTTGGACATGCAACAGCTCAGCAGTGAACAAATCAAATATCTTTGTGATTATATTTTTTTACGCAGTTTTACTTTTCTAAATAAAACGATGAAAGAAAGTAAATTTGCTGTGATTAGCTTCTTCAATATAATTTTTCTACTCCTCTCCGTCGCTTCGGCCCATGTCGCACTTTAAATACTGTTTAGCCGTTTTGCGTGACTTTGGTAAATCAGCTGATGGTACTGCATCAATAGTCATACTTTCTTTCCTGTTTGGCTTCCCGGATTGGAAGTGACAGCCACAGACTTTGAAGTTGTCAGTTATATCTTTCAATAAAATGTTCGAACGACCAGTGGCACTAATCCATAGCAATTTCGGACGCCTGACCTTTGGAAATACAAAAAAAAAAAAAAAAACATTGTCTATTCTACCTCTCCGGTGGCTGCAGTTATACACACCACAGACAGTTGTCATGACCACCCATTACCGATAAATGCAAAGAGCGGGAGATCTACTTTACATCGAGACGGTCGTCCATGAAGGCCCCTTCTACTCTTGCCCCCTGAGAAACAGTCCCGCACAAAATGGCACGAACTGCGCATGCACACGATTTCATGGAAAACACTCTATTTATATATAAATATTACTGTAATTCAATTCACTGCAATATTTTCATATTAAAATTTTCAATGAGTCATTTTTTTACAGTGGCATGTAGGATGAAGTGACATACAGATCCAAGTTTTTGTGGATCCAAAACAACAGTTCATGTGGATATGAGAGAAGTTGAGCTGTATGACAGACACTTGTTTACAAACTGCATGACATCATGCATTTAACGGTTGTGTAAATTTTTATCAATCTGTACAGTGTAAATGTCATAATGTGGTGCCAGTGTGCAATAATACGCACTCTTTGCTTAAGTCCAATAACTTTCTAACAGATTTATTGTAACTACATATTACAAAATATGGATAAGCAACAAATTTGTGGGTGCTGAGATTTGTGTTGTTTAAATTTTGTACCTTATATTTCAAAGCTTTGTCAGCAGTTTTGCGTGTTTTTATTCCAAAGTCAGTGCTTATTATATGGAATGAGATACTTAGTACTCTTTTTATTTTTTTTGGCAGATCTTTCAGTTGATAGTGGTAATAGAAATTTTCCAGATTTTCATGTAGTTACCTTATGTAAAAAACACCAATTAATCTAATTGCTAAATGGCCAAGCATACAAAGTTATTTCTGTGCATAGGGCCATTGGCTGAGGAATTTGGGCTAGGACAAATCCCTCCTTCAGTGATTTTTTCAAAATGTCATTTTTATTGTTAATGGTTTAGCCTTTTCCTTTCTCCCAGACTATCAAGAGTCTACTTTTGGATTATCGTTAGCCAACATCTAGAGGAGTACTGCAGTGATAGGAATACTAACTGTGTTTACATTGTGGGCCTTCAACAGCCCTCCTCCCCCATCTCATCCATTTTTCACTGCCTACAGCTCTGGGGTATTCACCCAAGTTAAAAAGAATAAGTCAAAAAATTTTTAATTGCTTTTTATTTTCTTGAAAAGTTCTAGAGTAATATCTTTCATCTTACTGTAAACAAACAGTACATGGATTGTTATTTTTCTACTTCAATAAAGTTATATTATACTATTATAGTATAGTTATAATTTTTTGCAAACAAAAACAATCTTCATAATATTCTAAAATCAGTACAAATTTTGTTCTAATTTATGTTGCAAAAGTGTCACTTTCAAAAATAACTTGTTTATACTGGCAGTGCTGTTAATAACTGATTTAAGTTGAACTGATTTAAGTTGAATTGTACAGTTGTGGAAAAAGATCCATGAACAATTCATCTGAACTGTAGTAGTAGTATAGGAAACTTGAATGTGAAAGCCTTCTTCAACATGCTGTCAAAGCATTGTGTTTTAGAAAATATGCATCACGGATATAAAGCAAAATTTTTAAAGTTTTGATATAAATCTTTGTTCAACAAAGATTGCTATAATGTGGAAGCAAATAATTTTAACAAGATAAAAGTCACCAATTTCCATTAAAAAAGAATGACCACTTAGTTTTTTTAATGACTGTCGTATTCCTAAGCCTTTGAAAGCCTCTCCTTCATCACGTTCTCCAGTTTAATAGCATCCGCAGCAAATTTCCTTATTCCCTCAGCCAACTTGTCCGTTGCCATTTCATCTTCATTTAGCATCCACCTGAAGGTCTTCTCATCCATGTTAATCTTTGTCAGTTCACTCTGTTTTGCTAAGAATTGAAAGACAAGAAAATTATTGGATAATTATTTAGGAACTTGTAAATTTGTTGCAAACATTGGGCATTCATTTTCAACAAAACCATAATTATGCCATTTACTAATTTTGCAAAAAAAGAAAAATGCTACAGATGAATATTTAGTCAACAATCTTGAAGGCATTTTACCAAACAATTGCACATCAAAGGAACATGATACATGTGTATGACTCGGTTTTCATTCCATAATTATTTCACAGAGTTTGGATACAATGTTAAACAAATTCGGCTGCTCCAAATTAAGAATTGCCAACAAATTTAGTTAAAACCTGACCAAATGCCACCATATAGTTTCGAACAGCATAAATTAAGAAACACCCAAGGGTATCGTTTCACATCTCCTAAAAAATGATATCTGAACCAGTATATTCTGCTGCCTTCTGTGCTATGTATAACCTATGGTCATTTTTGCCACACCTAATTTGAATAATTATGCTATTGCAGGCACAAAATTAATGGGTCATACAATACTACATCATTCTGAAGACTTTTACAAACTGGAGGGATGAATAATTAGGTCGAGTTTACAACCAGAAATTTGAAGAAGGTACAGTTTTTTAGCTATTTTTGGCTGACCAAGTGATTAATATTTGGTTTATCCCTTGGCATGTCATCTTAGTTTGAGTTTTATAAGAAACTAAAAATAGTGGTTTATGGTTCATACAATTTTTTTTTTAGTATAAATTTTTTTAGTGGTTTATATGCAATATAGGGAATCCGCGCTTGCTTCATACTTATTTTTAATTTTCTTTATGTAAGCTTACACTTAACTGTAGGTACAGTGAGCATACCTTGTTTCTCTGAAAGGTACACAGTAACTTTCTCATTGCTGCTGGAAAGCTTTTCCAAAAGTGATGGGCTAGAAAACAAGAAATGAATATTTGAAATGGAAACAGGCAATGGAAAAGCCAATTGTCATCATGTTCAGTTTCCCATTTCAATTTAAAAACTCCTGATAATTCACATGGTTTCATAATCATTGAGGACTTGCTTATGGCAATATGTACAGATACTAATGAGTGTACATAGAAAAGTTTAATTTCATGGTTTTTTAGGTACCTGATAGTGAGGAGGTCACATCCAGTAAGTGCTGTTATCTGTTCTGTATTTCTGAAAGAGGCTCCCATGACGACAGTCTGGTATCCAAACTTTTTGTAGTAATTGTAGATCCTAGTGACACTTTGAACACCTGTAAAATTGGCATATATGTTACTTAAGACATTTCACAAATAAAGCATTTGTGTTTACAGATAATTAAAATGATTTTCTTTTAGAAAGATTAGAATATGCACTGGCTTAAAATGAGAACTCTGAATTTATGACAGCTGTAAAAGATATAATAGGTATTTGATATAGAGGATGCACTACAGTCCAAGCTTGCACTATTTGTATAATTCCCAATACATGTTTTTTCTTTAGTAAAACATAAGAAGTTAAATGTTTATACAATGCTATCAGCCCAAGATTTTTTAATTTAGTAACAGTTGTCATTACAATGATTTAATTCTTATCATCATAACAAAACCAACCTGGATCTTCCAATGGCTCAAACTTCTTTTTGTCTGTGTTTTTCACATACCAATCAAAGATTCTGCCCACAAAAGGTGAAATGAGTGTCACCCCAGCCTCTGCACATGCAACAGCCTGCAAAAAATATTTTTTGCAACTTCAGACAGTAGAACCTTGTAAAACAAAAATTAAATTGCAAAAATTTGGTAAAATGCTTCATATCCTAAAATCCATATGCAGTGCAATTTAAAGATGTTATTATAATATGGCAGGTTTAAACAAAACCAACCATTATGAATCAGACAGTAGAGCATAAGTGTGTATAAAAAAATTGAAGTATGTAGTACCTGTGCAAATGAAAACAACAAAGTCAAGTTGCAGTGAATTCCATATTCCTGTTCCAGGGTTCTGGAGGCAAGAAATTTAAAAGAGAAATATTATTTAAACATTTAAATAGTCATCAACAATAAATAAATAAATAAATAAATTTTAAAAAATCTTCATCTGCAGGGCAGGACAGAGCCTACCTATACAAAAACAGCTGTAAACACATTTTAACAAGTTATTACAAAATAGGCCCCTTTCAATGGGAGCTATTCATCATGATCAGTCATCCTTTCAATACAAGCAAATGTAATTGGTAAAAACAATTATTTCAGGTTTTTTTAGATTTGTTCTTAATTTAATATACAGGTTTTCTGTGCATGATCTTAAATTCTTATACTTTTAATGCAACTTACCCAATTTGAATGTTTTTTAAAAACATGATAAATAAGTGTAAGATTTATGCTTGTATATTACTGGTACATTATTTTCCTTCAATTTAAGGAGCACAAAGAAAAGCACTATGATTAAGTAAGGAACAGAAATCACCTGGCTGCCTCAATACCCTCCCAGGTAGTTGCAAGTTTGATGAGAATCCTTTCCTTGTCAATCCCTTTCTCTGTGTATAAATCGATGATCCTTCTGGCTTTTGAGATGGAAGCCTCCTTGTCAAAAGACAATCTGAAATGTTTTTTGTATAACATATACTGCTTATGTGACTAATATGCCATTACAGCATAATTGTGATTCTCCATGAGCATGTATTTCTAAGTATGATGGGCAATATGTTAAATGATTTAAAACCCACTTGTAAATGGAAAAGTTATGCAATTGCAATCCTTTACTGAGGTCATGGCAAACATGTTGAAACATGACAGTGGATAATGGTCAAATATCCAAATAGATTCCAAACACTAAAGCAGATTTTTTTTATGTATTATATTTGAAAAGGTATGGCACACCTTGCATCAACTTCTGTGGAAACTCTTCCAGGGATAATCTTCAGGATTTCTGATCCAAAGTTAACAAACAATCTGTCCATGGCCCAGTCCAACTGATCATCAAAAGAGCTAAAATAAAACGTAATTTTGTCACTGACCAGTATATAAAGAGATATCAGACCATATTCAAATCAACAAAGAAGCAATATATTTTTTTAATTTTTTTTAAACACACTTGAGCACCAATTACAGTGATTTATTTATGTTTTCATGTCTATTCCTTGTGAAATCTGTCTTGGTATTATCTATTCAGATTGGCCAAAGAAAAGGAAAAGAACTGACATACCCTCCCTTTACTTTGGCATACTGAACTGCATCATCTATGAGGTGTTGATACTGCTCCATCTTTGCAGCAGCCAGGATCAAGGAAGGATTGGTTGTTGCATCTGTAGGTTTGTACTTCTTCATTGCTAAAAAAACATAAATACACTTTTACCAACTAATATCTTGTGGCTACTTGAAAACAAAAGAAAAAATACCTATGAAAATTGTTATCATTAATCTTTATTTTATTATTATTATTTATTTTTTGCACAAGAAAAAAAAGGAAAGTGACTAAAATATCCAGTATTTTCTGATGGAAGAAGTACAATGTTTGGTGTTCATGCTCGATAATTATAAAATCAATAAAATTCAATTATATTTCCTTGATATAAACATATCTGTTCAAAAAGAAAAAAAATCACACACCAAGATTTGTAAGGAAATGATAGGAAAATTGAAAATCCCATTTTATCACTCAGTCTTACAGCATCTGTAATGCAGCCTCCATGACACTGTCATGACTTTCCATTTATATTGCAAGAGATTTCTATCGTCATGCTCAA